CTGTGTCTCTCTCTCCGTCTGTGTCTCTCTCTCCGTCTGTGTCTCTCACTCTCACTCTCACTCTCACACTCACACTCACACTCACACTCACACTCACACTCACACTCTAACCTTGGCATGGAAACAGACCCTTTGGCCCAACTCATCCGTGCTGACCAGATATCCTAAACTAACCCAGCCCCATCTGCCAGCATTTGGGCCCATCTCCCTCTAACCCCTTGCTATTCATGTACTCATCCAGATACCTTTTAAATGTTGTAATTGTACCAGCCTCCACCACTTCCTCTGGCAGCTCGTTCCACGCACACACCACCCTCTGCGTGAAAAAGTTACCCCTCAGGTCCCTTTTAAATCTTTCCCCTCTCACCTTAAACCTATGCCCCTCTAGTTTTGGACTCCCCCCACCCCCTGGGGAAAAAGACCTTGACTATGCACCCTATCCATGCCCCTCATGATTTTATAAGCCTCTAACAGGTCACCCCCTCCAGGGAAAATAGCACCAGCCTATCCAGCCTCTCCTTGTAGCTCAACCCTCCAACATTCTTGTAAATTTTTTCTGAACCCTTTCAACTTTCACAACATCCTTCCTACAGCGGGGAGACCAGAACTGAGCTCAGTATTCCAAAAGTGGCCCTGACCAATGTCCTGTCTCATTTTCCACTGTAATCCCTCACTCGTCCCTCCACCCTCTCACTCGCCTCTCACTGAAATCTATGTCTCACTCGCCCCTCCATACCTGCTCATTCACTAAAGAACAATATTGATTCATTGGAGGTAGTACAGAGATGGTTCACTGGGATGGTCCCCTGGGGTGCAGAGGGATTATCTAATTAGAAAAGTTTAAACAGGTTGGGACTCTTACACACTGGAGTTGAGAAGAATAGGACAAGATTGCATTGAAACATATCCGGGATTGGGGTCAACGCTGAGAGGAAGCTTCAGAGAATCCCTACAGTGTGGAAGCAGGCTATTCGGCCCATCAAGTCTGCTCCGACCCAAAGTGCATCCCAACCAGACTCACTCCCCAACTCTGTGTGTGGAACCCTGCATTTCCCATAGCTAATGCAACTAACCTTGCACACTACGGGACAATTTCCCACGGCCAATCCCACCCTGACCTGCACATCCCTGGGCACTATGGGGCAATTTCCCACGGCCAACCCACCCTAACCTGCACATCCTTGGGCACTACGGGACAATTTCCCACGGCCAATCCCACCCTAACCTGCACATCCCTGGGCACTACGGGACAATTTCCCATGGCCAACCCACCCTAACCTGCACACCTTTGGACTGTGGGAGGAAACCGGAGCACCTGGAGGAAATCCACGCAGACACGACGAGAATGTGCAAACTCCACACAGACAGTCGCCCGAGGGTGGATCGAACCCGAGTCCCTGGTGCCGTGAGGCGGCGGCACTAACTGCTGGGTCACCGTGCCATCTTTAAAGGAAAATCTGAGACCAGGGGGCTCAGCCTCAGAGTAAAGGTGGAGGGGTGGGGTGGGTTGGGGGTGCCGATCTCGGGCCGAGATGAGGCGGAATTTCTTGTCTCAGTGGGTTGTGGGTCTTTGGAACTCCTTCCCACAGAGAGTTATGGGGGTGGGGGAGGGCAGACTCCTCTGGGGCAGGCCGAGATGGAGAGATTCCTGATCGGGGGTTAGCGGGGGAAAGTGGACGTGAGGAACGTGGGATCATCCGGTTGAATGGGGGAGCAGGCCGGGGGGGGGGCCGACTGGACGCCTCGTGTTCCTGTTTCTCCTAATGTGAGTGGACAGGTCTCTTCGTCCCCTTTCCTCCCTGTACCACCCATGCCTTCACTCTGTTTCTCTCTCTCTCTCTGCTCCTCCTCAGGAAGGTGTTCTTCACCGACTATGGGCAGGTCCCCAAGGTGGAGAGGTGCGACATGGATGGCCAGAACCGCTCCAAGCTGGTCGACAGCAAGATCGTCTTCCCCCACGGCCTGGCCCTGGACCTGGTCAACAAGCTGGTCTACTGGGCCGACGCCTACCTGGACTACATAGAGGTGGTGGACTACGAGGGGAAAAACCGCCAGGCCATCATCCAGGGCCAGTTTGTACGTAGGAGGGGAGGGGAGAGGGGGGCGAG